TCGGATAAATACGCAAAATTGTCTTTTAACAGTTCCGGACCAATTCCAGAGTACTCAAATATTAATACCCCAAAAATAAGTTGTTATGAATGCCAGTTGGTAGTCAACTAAATAAAACGGTAGTGTAATATATAAAGCGACAGCCCGCTTAATCATTTTTAAGCGTCCCATTTCAATTTTTTCTACACCAAACCATACACTATTCTAAATTGTCGTATAGTGGCTTTGGAATCATCACAGTTGGATTAATTCACTATATGTTGCAGTAGTCCTATGAATCATTGTTTTTTTTAAACAAATCTCAATAATGCACTACTTTTCTAGCATGGACGGAATTTTTCTCAATATAGGAACAAAAAAAGAATATTATAGTAAATCTATTCTTTTTTTAGAAAAGTTTCTTTTCATTGCAGAATGATATATGAATCATAAAGAAAGTATTACTCAATTTAAAATTCCCCTTAACTGCAATATAGTGATCATTTCTCTCAGCAATATTGCAATATTTTCGGTTAACAATTTAATTTAGAAGTTTTATCAAACTAATTTAGTTTCTAATAATTAGTCTTAAAGGTAGTAATTTATAGACGAAATTAAAATAAAAAATACCAACTTATAATGATTGAATTTAATTACAAAAATAAATCAATTAATTGGATTTGTACTCGAATCCAATAAAAAAATTATAATGATAGATAATTTTTCTAACTAAAGAACACCAATTAATAAAATAAACGTTCTTAAGGAAATATTTAATTAGTTTAGAAATGTCTGCAATGCAACCTAATAAAATATTTTGATAACTTCTAACATAATACACTACTTTTAAATTCTTTAAATAATCTTTAAAAAATGCGTACTCAAGTGAATAATATTTAAAAAAATAACCTTTAAAAAGATTATTTTTCTCATATATAAATTGATAATATACAATATAGATGTTCGATACAATAAAGAGTATGAAGAAGAAACTTTATTATTAGAAAATTTAAGGCAGGAAATTTTTGTATCTCTTCTTTTCTTTTTAAGATTGGTCTTTTCACATTTCAAATATCGAATCATCGATATACTAGGAAACTGTTAAAGATTGTTCTGAAAAATCGAATACATAACGATTTACTAGCCAATAAAATGCTGCAAATCTTCAAAATGAACCTTTTCCTGAACGAATTTATTGTGAAAAGTATCCAGCAATTCAAAAAACCCGCTTAAATATTTACAGTTTTACAGTTTACAGTTCCAAACCATAAAATAGGATTTGGAAGAAGATTTCAAAACTTCAACAGCAATGCCGATAAAATAAAAATAAAATCATTTTTAATTTGTTATGTGCCTTATTTAATTACTCCGGGTACTTTTTACACAGAAAATAAAGCATTCAAAATAAACCCCAAATCTTTACATTTCATTACATGAATATCTAGCAGTGGCACCTTGGTACACCAAATCAAGCTATATGTCATTAAATCAGACCCCTTAACCCCACAATATAATAACAATAGTAATAACATTTATTTGGAATAGTTCGATGTTCACTTTTTACGGAAAGTAGCAATAGTTGAAATATTTGAAGCAAAATAATACTAATGCAATAGTTTTAATTAATTACTTTAATTTATACTGAATAATTCTACTTACTATAGGCTTCCTTATCATTAAAGTATTTTTCAGGCGGAGTTAATAGCCATTAGAGAAGCTACAGCTTGTCTGAAAGTCGATGATATATTTAATAGGAATATATACATACTATCTGACAGTCAAGCTGATATAAAGTGCTTGAGTTAAGTTCGATCAACATTCAAGACGGATTTTGACTGCTACACAACTTTAAAGTCCTAGAGATATTTTCGGCAATTGCAAAGCAGATGAGCAAGGTAGACGGTGTGCTTCAGGAAATCACTCAGAACACCTAAACAATCTAACCATATTACTGATAACATGCATACTATTACTAAGTTGTTCTGTGCTGATTTTTTAAAAAAAGATGGAAACGCATCTGGTTGCAATTTGGTCAAGCTCCAAGAAATAAAATACTCACATTGAGATGCCCCGTAAAGATGTCAGTCTTGTTGTAGGCTTACTCACAGGTTATGTCAGTTGACGCAGTTGTGATGAAAGAGCCACTCATTCGTTTTGGTCTATGTTCGCTATTTTTCAGTAGAATAATCGTTTTCCATGGAGAGGAACAGATGGTAATCACTTGGTATCAGGTCTGGATGATAAAGTGAATACACAAAAACTAGCCAACTATGCTTCCGAAGCTTTTAGCATTTTATTATTGGTGTGCCTGGACTGATGTTGTTCTGATGGAACTCAATTCCTCTCCCTTTGCCCAAAACTGGTCATTTTTAGGCAATTGCTTCCTTGAGATGGACTTATTGGTTCAAGTGCATTTACATAGTATTACATAGTTACAGTTTTACCATAGGGGAACAGCTCGTAGTAGATGATTATCCATCAATCTCACCAATGTGGGGTCACCAATACTACCGGTTCGGTTACCGTCTCAGTCAGCTCACCGCGATTCAACCACGACTGTTTTCGCTCGTGGATAGAACGTAAAGGATCAAGGTTTCATCATCAGTCACCAACGGCCAACCGCTTCAGAAATGGGTTGATTTTGTTGCGATTCAGCAGCGATTCTTGTAGCACCCTTAAATCGAGTGTGTGTACAGACTTTCTGTGTTCAGACTTGCGTGGTACATCTTTGACATCGAAATCACCGGAATGAGTTCAATGAAACCAAAATTGCGCACGGTTGGCCGTTATAGTATTTGTTATAGGACCGTAAACAATATTTACATTGTGCACGGTTGGCTGTTACATTATTTGTTATAGGACCGTAAACAATATTCACATTTTCAGCCGCTAATCTTGCGTTTTCGCCTTTATCAAAGATAAACTGTAAAATATGGCGCATTTTCTCTTTTCTAGTATTCATCTTTGACGCACGCTCAAATAAAACTGAGTCCAATAATTACCAATTAACTATCAAAAGTTTTTTTAGAACGAAATGTCATTTTTTCTAGCGCCCTCTAGCGTAACCAGATCGAACTTATACTACGTGGGATAGATTTAACTAAATGCATGTATTAGAAAAATTATAGATTTTTTTTTATTGCACTTAATATTATTACGTGTTATAATATTCCATTTATATATATTTAATATTTTTTATAAAGATTTAGTAAATTTAATCGCCTTTCTTGAAAGATATATATAAAATAGTTTAAAGTGCATAAAACAAAGGGCACTCTTCATGTCGCTACATTAATTTACTTATGCACCCATTTTGTGAACTCACATAAGACATTTCTAGAGCTTATGGGTAAATACTGCAACAGAGCTCAACTCTCCATTCCCTAAAAAGTGTTTCACCCCTCAAACAGCAATAAACTTTTTATAGAAAAATAACAAAATTAGCCATTAAAAGTATTTCAGTGTTTATTTTTTTCTTAACACCTTACATTGCAAACGGAAAAAGTTTTACTAATAAAAATAAAATGAAGGTAAAAAAAGGAAAAGATCTTTTTCTCCCCTTTTTTGAACTCTGAAAACGTTGCACTTTGTTGCTGCGTTAAGAGATACTAAATTTTTTTAACTTTCAATCCAACAAAGTGCAAGTAACCCAAAGAAACTTTTCCAAACCATGCAGCAAAAAAAGGGACAATGGATGGAAAATGAAACCAACAGAAAAAGTGTGACAAGAGTAAGGATTTGTCGCTTTGCTTTAAGCAAAGTTTGTTTAGAAAATGCACAGAATGCAGCTTAACGAGGAAGTTAAGCTCCAACCGAAATTACGGATACAACTCGAGTGCAATACAAACTTGGCATTTCTGTTCGTGAAAAGCTTAATGTGATTTCTTTAAAATTTTATTTCCTCTGTTGAAGTTGCAGTTCCAGTTGTAGTTGCTGAAATGCGTGCTAGAAATTACGAACTGACAACCGTGAAAGTAACAAGAGGACATGTTTAAGGATTTGCGTTCTGCGACAAATTGGTTTAGCATATCATGGAAGTGGAAAATGCATTAATAACTGAAATGCATATTTTATATGAATTATAAAAATTATTCATACACATACCATATATGAATATATTTTTTCAGTAGTTCAACTAAAGTTCTATTAAGTTATAAATTAAATTCAATAAAATCCTCCCATAAATATTTGGTCTAAATTTTTCTAGAATTTTTCACCACTCCATTTCGACCGAATGCACATTTGTGCTCTTTGCAAATATCATGCTCCCATATCTTCTGCCGAACTGATCTACAGATCATTTAGTTTCTTCCACCTTTTCAGTTTTCGTTGAGTTCTCGATCGGTTCAGTACGTTTAGCGTTTGTGCGGCGCATGATACGCGGTTGCCTTACTTTTTAGTGCGGTGAACTTAAAATTTTAAAATAAAAATAAAAATTCACTTGAATTGCTAACAAAAATAAAATGCCATAAAATCAAAGAAAAAAATTGATGCCAAATAAAATAAAGTTTATTTTTAAAACTAAATGAATTGAGAATTCTAAAAACAACACAAAAAGTGAAAATGTTTTTTGTAACGTCAAATGTCGCTTTGCAATTGAAATTTATTGGGAAAATTTATGTGACGCATTAAAAGCACCGATTTTCAAAAACAAAACAACAACAAAAAAGAAAAAATTATTGAAAAAAAATAAATAATTTTTATTTACAAATAAAAGTTTTTAAGCATTTGAGTTTCTCAAAATATCCATTTAATTATTTATAAACAAATTAAATGTGACAATAATTAACTACAAAAATCGCTGTGTAAACGCATTTGTTGCATTTTGATAGTCTCGAAGTGATCAAAGAGAAGTACTAGAAGGCAATAAAAGTCATTTACTTGAAAAAAAAGATATCAAAGAAAAAAGATAAATTTTTAATAATAACAGAGTGTAAAAAGAAGAAATATTTGATATTTAAAAATTTCGCATAAAAAATAATTTTAATATATTTTTATATTCATTCTAAAAATGTTTAAAAGTTTCTTTTTTAAATATTCAACAAAAAATGTACGAAATTACTGTAGTTCCTCTCATTTCGATGGAAATTAAGGTATGTTTTTGTACTACTAAAATATAGTAAATACTACTACATAGTGTACAGATTTGATAATAAGTGAATAATCTATATTTCTTATAAGAATACAAGAATACAGTAAATACTACCGTTTTGTAGATTATAGTGTACAGAATAATCTATATTTCTAATAATATATATATATATAGTACTAGAATATAGTACATACTACAGTTTTGTAGATTATAGTGTACAGATTTGGTAATAAGTTAATAATCCATATTGATCCTCTTATAAAACGTTATGCGATATACAAAAACTAAGTTTAGTTTAGAAATGATTGATTTGAACTAAATATTGTTTTCCATATGTCCGCTGAAAATCTATTAGAACACTCAGAAAAATTAATTTAGTTGATTTAACCAGATTTTAACTAAATCTGAGGTCAAAATATTCTTACCAGGCACATCATATTGGTTCAGCTATATCACATGTTGGTTTTAATATCTTCTTTACCACATAAACTAAAATTTTACTAACAAAATGATCAGGTCAATTTAACTAGTATGAGATTAGCGCATATTTTTCTGAGTGAAGTCGCCATGTCCATATTTATTAAAATAACGATTACAACAAATAAAAAATTTAAACATATTATTTAAATATTTTCCACGGCAGATACATGTGATATTTACAAGAAAGTTTACTAAAATTATTTTTGAATAAATTTAAGTCACTCAAAGAATTAGTTTGCTCTGATGCTTGATCGTTTAAAAACTTTCTTAGTCACACATTACCTTTACTATGCCCATTATTAAATGTAGTGAGATATTTTATTAATGTTTAATTAAAAACCCCATTGGAATTTTTTATTTATATTCTTTTTGTTTTATTATTAAGACTTATCTTCTTGTTAGCTTATTTTTTAATATAGAAAATATATTAAAAATATATAATAAGATATAACTTAGCTTTACAAAATATTTCAAAATAATATCTTTACTTTGTCTGTTATTATTTCCATTTCTGCTTTCGATTACTTCAATACCATCATACTCAATGATACTAGTTTAAAATGGTTTTTTTCCTATACAAATATTTGTTCTCTTTTACACTATTATTATTATTTATTAAATTCAAAATATATGAGCAGATGCAAACAGAATTTCTACGTCAATAAATTGTTTCGACTAGTTTTGCTACTAACACATTTTGTCTATATACTAGTCTATTTTGTTCAGAAGTGTTATTATAAAAAAAATGAAAAGCTTTTTCTTTATTATTGTCCTTTTTTATGACATACCTGATATTTGGCAGAATCTTTCAGAAACCTTCAAGGCTATTACTTCCTTCCGTTCAGTTCTGTTTCTTCAATTGCCACGACAGTTACTTTCTGTTGATTTTATATTAGATTATTTAGTAATTCTGATTCTTCATGATATGGTCTAGATATCTAACTTATATTATTTTAAGAAAATGGAGCAGTTTTTAAACATTTATTCATTTTTAATATTCTTGATAACATTATGGGCCAATAGGGCTAAGTGTATCCACCCAATATTCTTGACACGCAACTAGTCTTTTTTTGTTGTTTAGTTTAACTAAATTTGTAAATCATGAAGTGAATTAAACAAAACATTTAAAATCCAGGCTATGATATATATTAATAAGCACAATCTCTTAAATTTGTAGAAAGTTTTTTTTTTTTTTTGGACCTGCTACGACCTTTATTAACACGTGTTAACTATCGATATATCTTTATTTTGATATAAATTTTATATTTGATGGACTTATAAGAATGCTCAGATCTCAGATATTCTTGCAGTGGAAACGCTCAAAAAGTACTCGGATTTTGTAAATAAAACACACAAATTTAAATTTTGTTCCAAATTTATTTTATCTCCTTCAAAATATGCTCCTTCTTAAGCGATTCACATATGCTAACGCTTAACCCAATGTTCCATACACTTTGCGTAGACCCGTGAAGGTATGGTAAAAAGTCGCACAGATCCAGATCTGGTGCCTGAGCGATGACAGTGGTGCCGTGTTTGGTCAAAAAATCGCATACAACCACTTTTTGTTGCTTACAACTACTTTTTAAACACAACAACCTTAGCGCGAAGAACAGAAAGCTGATCTATAGTCATATAATCACACCAACACTACTTGATGGGTGCGTCGGGTATAGTAAAGCTGCCTATTCTACTATCCAGAAGCTACAAGTTCCTCAAAGCCACGCTCTAGGAAGACTCTTTAAAGTGCCATGGTGCATCCGCACGAATGACATGCTAAGAGACCTTAGAATAGATTCGGTCAAAAAGTACATAAGAAACAGACCCCTGAAGCTTTTGAAATTCCCTTAATTAAATATAGGTATTACCTATATTAATACTATGTAGAAATATTTTGTCTTGTTATGTTGTGAGACCAATTGAATTTTAAATTTTTTCTTTCGATACACTAGTTAAGAATTTAAATTTCGTTCTTTTGAAGTGAAAAAAATTGTCAGTGAATTCTTCGAAGGATAAAGTTTGTATTGTAGTTTCAGAAATGTTTTTAATTTTGATCCAATCACAATTTTGTCTTTCCTCAACTCTTCATGAAAAGTCATACATCAAACCATGTCATATATTTTGCAGTTGAGCATCATCGTATTTTGTGTTGTCTTGTCAAAAAGGTGAATACATGTCATGCAAAATGAACTTCAGTTAAAGTTTTTATACATTCTTCCTTTCAAACAGAGCCAAAGCTACTGAATATGAATTATGTTTTAAAAATTTTGACTCTTGCTACTCTGAATTCTTTTCAAAATCTCTTTTTTTTGTAAACTACATAATTCATTTTTAAAATAAAACTGACCTTTTTAAAAAATCATCAGATTCTTTTGTTTACTCATACACGAGCTTAAGCAACTCAATAAGGTAAACAAATCAAGATGAACGCAAATGTTGCATATCATTAAACTCGCTGAGCTGACACAACGGACAAATATGCGCGGGTATTTAAATTTAAATTTATTTTTTTAAAGAAACACATATTTTCTACCCAAATATCCACTGCACTTATGCTAAACTAAATTAATTGCACATTAAAAACAAACACAAATTCTGAAAATAGAATCTCAGATGCAATACCAAAACATGAGAAGGATTGCAAAATATTTATTAAGTTTGGTGCGTGACAAATAAACTTTTGGACACCCTACATTTTGGGAGATTGATAATTATATTTAATAAAAAAAAAAATAACCAATTTTAATTATTATTATTATAATATTAAGTATTATTTTTAAGGGATGTGGCACTGCGACCATCGGGTCTATTGTGCCCATAATATTAAGTCATAAATTTATGAAATAACATAAATAATTTATGATAAAAACTCAGCAAATCCTTGTGATCTGAGAAAATTGAAAAAAGGGGGTACATTTTTATATGAATAATTAAAACAGCATTTAAACATGAGAATATATGATTCATGGATTCAGCTATAATAACATCTTAAGACCGACAAATTATAACCCAAAACAGCATCAATTTTTCATTACATTATATATGAATATATTTGCTGTCTCCTATGCTCTTTATTATTTGTGCGTCTTCTATGGCTTAGGTTAGGTATGCCTTCATATAGCAGTTGCTGGGAGAAGCGTGTTATTATCTCTTGATATTGTTCTTATTACTGACTGAAGATACCCAATCACTTTTGTCTCTTTAAACACAAGACTGATTGGATTTTTTTTGGTCAACACCTACACCAAACGAAAGACCCATAGTTAATGTTAGGTTTGATGATCATGATTTTCATCATGGTGGCAGTCCCCATCGTTTCTCAAAGGGTCTTTACAAAACTAATCAGCAAGTAGTCAATATTTGGCTTAGGAGGAGAGATTAAGTCCATCCGGGTTGAGCATGGCGACCTAATCCAATGTTGTATTCCGTGTGAGAGAAAACGAGTTCTATATTTATGTCTACTTAATGTCAAATGGTCTTTATTTTCCTTTTATTGTCCTAACCAGTGTTGAGAAGACTGTTTAAAATGTTACCAACCGTAAAAATGGTGATAATGGAATTTTCTAAAGCTTTCTGGTAAGTCATATCCACTGTTATACTACTTCTAGGTCGGATTCACCAACAGTTTCTGCATAGGAACGGTTTTGATTAATTTACGAACTCTTACTATAATTTTTGGAAATCGTAAACAATTTTTTTACTAATTTCTATCAAATTTTTGCCAAATGATAGCCCAAATTTAGCATATGATTAGCAGCGACAGGACTTAATTAGGGAAGTTCTTTTAAACACTGGTACTGAGCCAGCTTGTTAACTTTAATTAAAGTGCCCTGCAGCTAATACTAAATAATGATTTCGCGAACAAATTTATATGATATGTATGTTACTGAAATAGCTTAACTAGCTGCGTACGTGTCTGTGGGTACACATACAATCTTTTCCTGATCTTCCATTTCAAAGATGATAAAATTGATATATCATTTAATATATCAATAAACATACTTTATGAATTACTTTAGGTTGTAATCCGTTATTTTAATCATATATTTTTTTTGCCTAAGTAAAATCTTAACACCTATTTTGAGAAATCTTCTTTCAGTAATGGGTTTTCAGCTTAGATTTCTATCCAGAATAACCGGTGGAAGCTTAGTCTTATGAATGGGTCTCTGGTCATGTAGGCTTAGCTAAGCGACATAAGCAGTTAAATTTAAATAAGTATTTATTCAAAATTTTCGTTAAAGTAATCTTAAAGCAAAAAAAAGTAATTTTAATACACTAAGCATATCATTTTAAGCTTCCTACATCAACACTTGTGATAATGCTCTATTAGATTTTGGTATATGTCATTTTTGTAGTACTCGGTTACTTATTTTTGCCTGTATTGAAATTACTATAATGCTATTTAAAGACTTTATTATGTACTAAAAATGAGTAATTGATATATAACATTTGTCGATAAAAAAGTGTCCATAATAACCTCACCAGTAGTATGTTAACTTCAGCAAGTAACCGCAACACGTTTTT